GCGGGGGCGGGGGTGGGGGTGCTCCCCGCTGCACGCGTCCCCCTCCGGCTTACAAAGGCCTCCTGTGAAAGGCCTACTCTAGCTCTAGGCCCCATGCGCCCTTGGCCCCTGCGCCCTGGGTCTCGCCCGCCCCCAGGTGCCCCCCACCCCACCTCTTCTGGAAGGGGGCTGAGGCCAGGACACCCGCTCCCGGGAGAGGGGCCGGGAGAGGAGGACGCGGGCGCCGCTCGAGGTCGGTGGGGACCACCCGGGCCACGCTCGATGCTTTCATTGCGCGCAAGCCTCCCTCTGCGAGAGCGAGCATCTGTCTCCGCGAGAACCAGGTCACCGCCGGGGACGCAGGCCCTGCCCCTGCTCGTCCTGGAGGCTCCGCGGAGGCGTCGAGCACCCACCCCGCCCCCACCCCGCCCCGCCCCGCCCCGCCCGGCCGCGCGCCCCCTCCCGCCCCCTTCCCGCCCGCGCTCCTGCTGCCGCTTTAACGGCCGGGACCGCCCGGCCCGCGCCGCGCGCTCCTAGCGGGGACCCGGGGGGCGACAGATTTGGGGCATTGCTCGAGGGCAGTGAGTCATGAAAGCCGCTTTTGTTCCCCGCGCGTGCGGTTCGCGTGCCGCTCGGCAGCCTGCGGCGCCGGGTGGGGAGGGAGCGCGGCCCGGAGCCCGCCGCCCACCGGCAGCGCGAGCCCAGGGACGGGGCGACCACTGCGGCCCCGGGGAGGGGGGCCTGCGGGTGTGGACCCCGAGTCCGAGGGGGGAGACGGGCGCGGGGGCTGCTTCTAGGCCCCATCTCCTCCGCACAGAAGGCCCCCCAGTAACTCGGGCCTGCACCCCCCCCCCGGGGCCTGCCTCCTGCGCTCTCCGGGCGCCAACCCCCCCCCCCATTGACATTCCCCGCGCAGAGGAGGGTTCGCACCCCAGCCCAGAACCAGCCACCGTGACCCCGGGCCCATCCAGGTCTCTGGAACACCCCGGAGCGGCCTTGCCTTTGTACAAATGCCCAGGCGTGGGCGAACGACGGACGGGCACGGGGATTAGGGGTGAATTTAGTAGAAGGAGAGGGAAGCAACGGGGCTAATACTTTGTGCACCTTGCAAACTCGAGTCGTGGCTGGGGAACGCCCGGGGCCTTTCCCGCCCTGGAACATCTGGCCCCACGGAGACCCTCCTGATGTCGCAGACTGAGGGAGCTTGGCTTCCCCGGGGGAGGAGGGATCTCCTAGGTCATCCCCCCCATCTTTGGGTAGCTGGAGCCATCTCTTCCATCCGCCCCTTAACATTTACACATTTACCCCCCCACACACACACACACAAAGGTCCTCTAAGACCCAGAGGGAGGGCCGGGGCCGGGTTCTGCACCCCCAGCTGCTGGGGGCTGGCCAGGACAGTGGGGACACTTGGGCCCACCCTGCAGCAAGTGTCCTCACTCCTGCCTGTTGTGGTCCCTCCTTAACTTCGATGCCCTCTGGGTTTTAACCCATCACTGACGACACAGATGGTGCAGGGGAGGGAAACCAGACAGGCTCCTGGGTGAATCCTTCTGTCTTCCCCAGAGCTCTTCCTACACTGACCAGCGAAAACTCCCTACAGCTCCGCTCTAGGAAACTCAGCATAATTCAGGTCACGCTTTGGGCACCGGGTCAGGGCGCTCAGCCCTTTATTCCCCTTTCAGATTTGCGCCTTCCAGCCACCAGTGATTTCCTTAGGACCCTCTTCCCCTCTCCACTCTTGCCTCTCCGGTTCCCAGAGGCACCTGGCTTCAGCCGCTCAACCCTGACACTGTTTGCAAACTCGAGGGGGCTTTTAGGGCGATTGCCTTTAAAAAACATTCCAAGTTCCACGCATCCATTGGAAGGGGCACCGGGTCTGGGAGGGACAGGATGTTAGTCAATGGAGGTTTAGAGACGGAGCTGCTGGAGGAGGGATGGCAATGATAGGCTGTCTATGACTACAGCCTGCCCGGGGAGGAATGAATGATCATTCAAATCGCCAAACACAAACACGGGCCCCTTCAGAACTCTTCGGGAATCTCTATGACCTTTGCTTGACAGGTGGAGGTTGGTTGAGTCAAGTGAGAGTCTGTGAGGTCTGGAGGAGTCCTGGCCATTAACCCCCTCCAGAGCCCTGCCAAAGGCCTTTCCCGAAAGAGGAGCGAAGAAAAGACCCACTCGGTGTAGGCCCTGCTTGCTCCCTTTGAGAAGGCTCCTCGGAACCAGGCGCCTTTTGCAGGTCGGGGCGGTGCAGGGCCCGCTTGGGGCGGGAACAGGGGGTGTCGGCGGGGGAGGGGGGCATCCTCTGCAAGGATCCAATGGCCTTGGCGGAAAAGGCATTAGAATCCAAGCATCAGAGGAGCCCCCGAAGCTTTCACACAGAGAGTTCTGGGACCGCAAGAGCCAAGGCCTGAGCGCGCCCAGCCTGCGCCCGGGCCCAGGGGTGATGTACGGGGGGCCTCGGCGACAGAGGCCGCTGAAGGCGAGGCGCCCCAGGCTGCACGTGTGCTGGGGGCAGTGACAGGCACGACATTTCTACCGTCGAGGCTGGGCCTGGGTGAGCCGGGGACGGAGGCCGCGCTTGCAGACCAACCCAGTGCGCCAGGCCGGTAGGTTTCCTTCGGGGTTTGGCGCGGTTGAGGGGATGGCGGGCACACGCAAAGCGTCCGCCAGGCGGGGGAGACCCCGAGGCGGGCGAGCCCGGGAGGGCAGCAAGTCTGGGGCGCGCCCCGGCGGCCACGGAGCCAGGCCAGGCCGCTCCCCCGCGCGCCTTGCTCCCGGGGCTCCCGGCCGGTGCGCGCCCCGACGCCGGCCGCCCTCTCCCATCGGAGCCCCCCCCCTGCAGTCCCCCTCCCCCGCGCCCCCTCTCCCTTCTGCCGCCTGAAAGGGTTAATCTCTCCTGCGGGTAAAAACAGGTCCGCGGAGTCTCTAACTGGCGACAGATGGGCCACTTTCTTCTGGCCACAAAGGGGCCGGAATGGAGCGCTCCGCGGCATACAAATGGGCGGGTCACGTGGCCGCCGGCTCCTGGCTGGACCGGGAGGACCATATGGCGCATGCCGGGGAGGCAGGAGCTGGGGCGGGGGCAGGGCTGGGGGGAGCGGGCCGGGGGGCGGGGTGGGGAGGGCGGGGGAGCGCGCGGCCCGGACGCGTGCGCAGGCGCGGGGCGCACGGACCTGCGGGCGCTCGGCTCCCCGCCCCGCCTGCGCGCGGCCCCGGCCGGCGGCTATATAACCCGGGCGCCCGCGGCCGGCGCGCGAGGAGCTCGCCCCACGCACGAGGCGCGGCGTCCGCGGCCCCGGGGTTATGAGCCCGCCACTGCTCAGGACCTACTAACCGCCGCAGGTAAGCACGGCCCTCGCCTCGCTGCCCGGGGATCCCCGCACGGATCCCGGGGCCCCGGACGTGCGCGTGCATCCACGGGCATCCCTCCCTCCCCACGCCACGCCGCGGGCAAACCCGCTCGCAGCTCGGCTCGCGTCCATCACCCAGCGCGGGCTCTCCAATTTAAAAAAAAAAATGTTTTAGTGTTTTGGTTTTTTTGGGGGGGCTCTTTGGGGTTTTGTAAATAATGCACCCCAACTCTGATGATCGGCTTGCTGGTGGTGATTTCAAAGTCCTGGAAGCAAATGACTACTTGACTTTCTCACTCCTTCTAGTAAGGGAAAAAAGAAAAAAAGAAAAAGAATTAGAAAAGAAAAAAAGAAAAAAGGAAAGCCCTGTCACCAAGATGCATTTTGTGTGCATGTGTATTGTACGCGATTGGAAGTGCCGAGTTATCGTTTCAGTGACTAAAAGGGACATTTGAGACCCGGAGTATATTCCCCCACCTCCCCCACACCCCATCCCCACATAACCCACTTGACAGGTAGTTGAGTTGGGAGGGAGGGGGGATGTGGAGACGGGGAGAGGAACCGACTCCTGCTACCTGTTACTGCTTCCGAGGCGGCCGGCCGAGTCGCCAGCAGCCAGCGCAGGAGCCAGAAATTCAGTTATTTCACTAAAGGCTCTTTTTTTTTTTTAATTTTCTTTATTAGAAGCGGCAACTTCGCTCTTGCCAATCGCTGACCATCATAATTACTCAATCTTTTTAAAGAGAGGTTTGAGGCGAACTTTGAAAAGCCCCCAATAAAGAGCGGGCGGCCCTTTCAATGGGCTGTTTATTAGAGAGGAGCCTCCCGCACCTGATCCCAGGCGCCGGGCAGGGCGCTGTGCGCGGTGCCCCGGCCTCGCCCCGGAGCCTGCGCTTTTTGTACAAGGTGGAAATTCAGCGGAGGGACAGTGATGGGGGGCGAGGGGGGAGGAAGGCGAGGGTGGCACGGGAGCCCCCTGCCCACTTCTGTTGCCACACGTTTCGTTGATGGCGAATTAATTGGACGGGAGCTACTTTTTCTCCGGCACGCATTTGCTCTTCAGTCTCGGGGTAGTGTGTAATCTTCTTAAAAATCACTGCCACCGTTAGTTAGCAAATTACGTAATGGCCCTTTGCAGCTGTAATCGCCAGGGCTGAGAAGGGGACGCACAGAATTGGGATTTTTTTTTCCAAACTCATCATTTTATGTGTGTGTGTGTGTGTGTGTGTGTGTGTGTGTGTAGTTGTGAGTGACTTTGAACTCACGCAGATAAAGGTGGAGTAGTGGGGGGGGGAGCAAACAAACATGAAGTAGTGGAAATGCATGCTCATTTTCACGCATGTATCTCTCTGCCGCCTAAGCACCGTAAACACACTTTCACCCATCGCTAGGAAACACACCTGCTTGCTCTCTCCCCCACCTGCGGCGCTGCCCTCTGTCCCGGGGGCCTGTTGTCAATCAGGCCAGCTAAGTTTTTCTTAGGAGCATCTGTCTGGTCAGCAGCGGTCACTCCCGCGCGCGTGCATCCCTGCCAGGTTAGGGAGCGGGAGCGGGAGCGCGGGGAAGGCGCAGCCGTTGGTGAGCCTAGCGCTTTTCTCCTTTTCTTTCTGTTCCTCTCCCCCTGCCCCCTGCCCCCGCCCCCTGTTGAATATAGGAAACCGCATCATGACCAAATCGTACAGCGAGAGCGGGCTGATGGGCGAGCCTCAGCCCCAGGGTCCTCCCAGCTGGACGGACGAATGTCTCAGTTCTCAGGACGAGGAGCACGAGGCAGACAAGAAGGAGGACGACCTGGAAGCCATGAACGCCGAGGAGGACTCGCTGAGGAACGGCGGCGAGGAGGAGGACGAGGACGAGGACCTCGAGGAGGAGGAGGAAGAGGAGGAGGAGGACGACGACCAGAAGCCCAAGAGACGCGGCCCCAAAAAGAAGAAGATGACCAAGGCGCGCCTGGAGCGCTTCAAGCTGCGGCGCATGAAGGCCAACGCCCGGGAGCGCAACCGCATGCACGGGCTCAACGCCGCCCTGGACAACCTGCGCAAGGTGGTGCCCTGCTACTCCAAGACGCAGAAGCTGTCCAAGATCGAGACGCTGCGCCTGGCCAAGAACTACATCTGGGCTCTGTCGGAGATCCTGCGCTCGGGCAAGAGCCCGGACCTGGTCTCCTTCGTCCAGACTCTGTGCAAGGGCCTGTCGCAGCCCACCACCAACCTGGTCGCCGGCTGCCTGCAGCTCAACCCTCGGACCTTCCTGCCCGAGCAGAGCCAGGACGTGCCCCCGCACCTGCCGGCGGCCAGCGCCCCGTTCCCGGGGCACCCGTACCCCTACCAGTCCCCGGGGCTGCCCAGCCCGCCCTACGGCACCATGGACAGCTCCCACGTCTTCCACGGGAAGCCGCCGCCGCACGCCTACAGCGCGGCGCTGGAGCCCTTCTTCGAGAGCCCCCTGACCGACTGCGCCAGCCCCGCCTTCGACGGGCCGCTCAGCCCGCCGCTCAGCATCAACGGCAACTTCTCTTTCAAACACGAACCGTCCGCCGAGTTCGAGAAGAGCTACGCCTTCACCATGCACTACCCCGCAGCGGCCTTGGCTGGGCCCCAGAGCCACGCCTCGATCTTCTCGGGCGCCGCCGGCCCGCGCTGCGAGATCCCCATAGACAGCATCGTGCCCTTCGAGAGCCATTCGCATCACGAGCGAGTCATGAGCGCCCAGCTCAACGCCATCTTCCACGACTAGGGGGGCACGTCGGCTCCAGCATCCCGCCCCCAGCCCCGGGAGGGGCGCCCACGTGCCCACTGTGCTCGCGGCCACCCTGGTGTTTACAAAAGGCAGCCCTTTGGGTACTATTGCTGCAAAGTGCAAATACTCCAAGCTCCGAGTGATAGATGTATTTATTGTCGTTACTGCCTTTGGGAGAAACAGGGGATCAAAGTTCCTGTTCACCTTATGTATTATTTTCTATAGCTCTTCTATTTTAAAAAAATAATAATAAAAAAGTAATACAGTAAAAAAAAAAAAAGAAGAAGCACCGCAAATTTGGTGTAGCTGTATTCAGATCATATGAATTATCTGATCGGGATAACAAAATCACAAGCAATAATTAGGATCTATGCAATTTTTAAACTAGTAATGGGCCAATTAAAATATATATAAATATATATTTTTCAACCAGCATTTTACTACTTGTTACCTTTCCCATGCTGAATTATTTTGTTGTGATTTTGTACAGAATTTTTAATGACTTTTTATAATGTGGATTTCCTATTTTAAAACCATGCAGCTTCATCAATTTTTATACATATCAGAAAAGTAGAATTATATCTAATTTATACAAAATAATTTAACTAATTTAAACCAGCAGAAAAGTGCTTAGAAAGTTATTGTGTTGCCTTAGCACTTCTTTCCTCTCTAATTGTAAAAAAAAAAAAAACCACAATTGCACAATTTGAGCAATTCATTTCACTTTAAAGTCTTTCCTTCTCCTTAAAATGAAAACCAGACCCATAACTCTTAAGAGGATAAAAAAAAGGAGAGAGATGTAGTCCCTATCAAAACATATCAATTCAATACATTACTTGCACAAGCTTGTATATACATATTATAAACAAATGCCAACATACCCTTCTTTAAATCAAAAGCTGCTTGACTATCACATACAATTTGCACTGTTTCTTTTTAGTCTTTTACCCTTTGCATTCCATGATTTTACAGAGAATCTGAAGCTATTGATGTTTCCAGAAAATATAAATGCATGATTTTATACATAGTCACACAAATGGTGGTTTGTCATTATATTCATGTAATAAATCTGAGCCTAAATCTAATCAGGTTGTTAATGTTGGGATTTATACCTATTGTAGTCAATTAGTACAGTAGCTTAAATAAATTCAAACCGTTTAATTCATAATTAGAACAATAGCTATTGCATGTAAAATGCAGTCCAGAATAAGTGCTGTTTGAGATGTGATACTGGTACCACTGGAATCAATCTGTACTGTAATCTTGTTTGTAATCCTGTATATTATGGTGTAATGCACAATTTAGAAAACACTCATCCAGTTGCAATAAAATAGTATTGAAAATCTGGCCAATTGTTGCATTTCTTCTGAAAGTGATTTTTTTAAGCATAAATAATTCCTAAGCAGGATAATTGCTTTATTTGCTGAATTTAAAAAAAAAAACGAAATGCTGTTTGTAGAATAAAATAAAGGACAAAAGTTTACTTTAGCATACTCTCTAGTCTGTTTGTCTCGGTTAGAGAGTCACCAACTCTTTGTAAAGATAATGAAAGAACCTAACTCATATTTCATTACGTGGAATATGAAGCTGGGGGGTGGGGTGGAGAGACAAACGGTTGTGTTTTTGTTTTTCTTTGTTTTAAGTGCCTTCACTTTTAGCTTCTTGGTTTCTATTCTTTTAAATGATTATGGTATATTTTCCCCCTATTTTTTTTAAAGGGGCATTTAGTTCATTATTCACAAGCAGACACAAGCAAGTGCCCTAGCTTAGTTTGCCTATACATTTAAAATGTATAGGAGAAAACTTTACCATTTTCTTAGTGCTTTGTTATCTGTACATTTCCCTGCACTGAACTGCAAATCAGTACTATCACAAAGTACCGTTGCACTTTGCAAACCAGCACTATCCCCAGAGAAAAGTTACGCACCTCCAGAAAATGTCGGGGGGGAACGATTGAATTAATCTAAAGAATCCAAGAAGTGGCATTTTGTAATTATTTTATGAACATCTTGTGATGATTTCAGTAAACTTTTTTTCCAGGAGAAAATGGTAACGAGTTATTTGTACTCAAGAACATGCTATTTGTAGTATAATATATTTTAGGATGATACAATTGTGTCCCTTCCCTTTTTGGAATGCTAAATAGAACTCAGTGGAAAAACTTCCAGATGACTCTGTCCATTGTTAAGTCCACCAAAAAAAAAAAAGTTTGGCATTTTTCTTCCTCTGGATGTATTGACTGACAGGAATGCTTCCTAGGGAATAACATTTTGGCACTTGTGCCCTGGCTGTACCACGGTGCTCTGATTACTGTCATTAGTAACTCCATTGTTCCTCCTCTGATTCGGATGCCACATTGGATGACTACCTCTCTTCCCAAGCTTGTTCCTTTAATCTCCTTCTCATTGGTGATTTAGGGGTTCCAGAAAGCTGACCTCATTTAGCAAACTGCTCCAGAAAAATGTGAGTAATCTAATGGACAGGAACAATTAGCCATACTAATAACATTGCCAATGGGGCTATGTCAAGCTGTGACAGTAGCAGTAAGGAATACTTCAACATTAAAAAATGTTGAGTTCAATTTAAAATACATCATTTTAACATGTTTTCCATCAGCCTTCATCAGATGACAGAAATACTTTTAAGTTAGTCTCAACTTTATCCAAAATGCAATCATCTCATTCCAAGTGAATCAGAGTTGTTATTTTGAAATCAAGCTGTTGCTTCTAGGATTGCTCTCACTGTTCTTACTTTAAGAGACGTAATACTGATAAGATATATGAACATTGCCAGCCTTCCAGCCTAGGGGACCATGAAGTGAACATTCAGATCTGATGTGATCTATTCAGCAGCTCAATTTCACCTATAATCAAAAGTATACATCTTCATGCAAACTAAAAACTGTTGCTCTAGTAAACAGGAGAAATAATAAGAGAATGCATGTTAAGGATACCAGCTTTTAAAACATCAAGCAAGGAGATATCTATACTGTGGATTTTTTTTCCTTTTCTTTTTCTTTCTTTCTTTTTTTTTTTTTTTGGTAAGGTAGAAATACAGACTATAAGTCAGTTTCTTTTTCTTTCATTTTGCCTATATAACTTCATTCTAAAACATAAGGATTCTTTCAGTCAGTCAAGGAGTAACTCACATGCCACCATCTTTTATTCAAAGGCAGGCACAGATGTTCCTTCTGCAGGGGAGGTTTTAATTTATGAAAATGATATTGTTTATGCATGAATGAACTGAATGCACTCTGCATAACACACAGCACTTCCATCTGATCAGAGAAATACCACAGAACCAGTGCCAATGTCAGAAACATATTCTACAAATTTACTCACTTAAATGTTTAATGAATATTTGGAAGGCATTTTCAAACCACAAGAAACCTTTTCAATTATCTTTTTCTTTTCTTTTTCAATTGCCACTAATATTTAAAAGAGAATCGGTTTTTATAATTGGCTAATGCCTATATCTAGCTAATAAGAAAAGAAAATGTTTTACTAAGTGAAAAACCAACCAAAAGAAACACTGGCAACTTTAGCATCATTGGAAAAAAATCTTTAAGTGTTGTTGTATATTGCTTGTTCTGAGTAACATTTAGGGCTCCTTTATCTTGGACAATTACTATTCCTATTAAGTAGGAAGCTTAGATCTACTTCTCTAATGTGAAAATGCTCTAAAGAGTTATTTCCAGGAAAGAAAAAAAAAACCTGGTATTTAAAAATCAACAGTCAGTTTCATGGTGGGATATGAAATTTGGCTAAATATTTTAACCAGTGCATAATTCCCTTTGAATAGAACACTGCATAACTTAGATTTCATTTACATCACCAACTGCATTCATACAGTAAGATCTACTTTTAATCCTAAAAAAATACAATTAAATGCAAATTAAAATGAAGAATTATAATATCTTAAGAACGTTCTGATAATTTTAGGTTTATAATACGGTACAGTATAATAACATTTGCAACAAATTAGAAGTGTTCTAATGTATTAATCTTAAAAAAGTCCCTATGTTTTTACATTTGAAAGTCTATAATTCTTACAAAATTAATGCATTTCTGAAGGAAGCTAGCAATTACTAAAATGATATATGGATCATTAGCTAGCAGTTTGAAGCAAGCTGTTTTAGTTCTATAATTAAACAAGAGATTTAAAGTGAAAATATCTATTAAACAATTAATAAAACTAGGCTTCAAATGTAGACTGATTTTTGTCCTAATGGGAATTGTAAAACAGGAAAGCCATGCTTAAACTAAACTGAAACCTCCTCTCTTCCCTTTTCCTCTCCCTTCGCCATGATTTATTTCCTAAAAACTATCTAAATAAAATCTTTAATCCCAGGGTCTGATAAAGAATAAAAGAGCCAATGCAACATCTTGTGGAACACCAGGACTGAGAACTCTTGTTGCTACCATTGCACAGAGGCATTCTGGCGTCAGATACATAGTGATTTGTATGGTGGCATAATCATTGGCTCCTGGCCAGGCATTATGTTTCAGAGGACACTATTGTCAAGAACCATTCAACTAGAAATCTGCACTGTATGCACTCAAAAGTTGAGATCATCTGCCTTCCCATGTCAGGAAGAATTTTGTGCTGGCAATTGACTCATAGACTCTTCACACTCACTAACACTTGGTTCAATGACTCTGATGGAATTAGCTGGATAACCAAACTAGTGGCATTGACAAGACAAGGCCTCAGTCTCCCAGGACTTCGGTTCAAATTGTGAATTTTAAAATGTCTTAAAATGCAGAGTCTTATGGAAATGCTGGATGAAATCTTCAGATACATTAGACGTGGATTTGGCCATCTAAACATTATTGTGCTAGTTGTCTAGCTAATAGGGAAGTGGATAGGGACAATGATAGTTTTTATAGATCCCCAGGTATAGAGCAATCCAAAGGGATATATCCCCTTGTGAAATAACATCTAGAGATAAAAGAATAGATTTAATCTCACATTTATGGGGAATCTTGGTAACTTACTTTGCTCTTAATAAGATTAAAAGCTACCCCTGCTTTAAGCTTTGATGTCTTAAGGACACACC